CAGTCCTTCGTGTCAAAGGCATGTCTCTCCCCTTGAGTTCAATTCCTCCAAATTGATGTCTGGAGTAAACTTTGGAAATGAGGAGATAAATAGGTAGTCATTATAGAAGCACAAGTGAGAGGTAACAAGAGCCAGAAAACTGTGGCTTCAGGAATACTGTCATGTGTGTCCCCCCCACCACCCCCCACCACCCTGAGTTTCTGGAGAATAGCTAACCAGGACTACACAGGCACACCTTAAAGATATTGCAAGTTCAGGTCCAGACCACTGTAGTAAAGGGAGTATCACAATAAAATGAGTCAGGATCTTTTTGGTCGTGGAGGATCTTCCCTTCAATTTCGAAGAAAACGCAACACCCGTGAGGCACGATGAAGCGAAGCACAATAAAATGAGGTATGCCTGCGATTACATAAAACCACTAGCACAGGTGTGCACCCTTGCATAACTAGGAGCAGAGGAGAAAGAACCTTTATTGCATACTTCTCTCCTGTGGAAAAAGATGGCTGAGAAAAGGTAGAAAGAAGAAAATAGTGTAGAACAGTGAAGGAAGTAAGATGTCTATTTATATTTATGTTTCATCTAAAAGGAGGAGGAGGAAATTAACCTTCACAAACATTTACTACAGACTGACGCTGGTGCCTGTCCTTTGGTGACCTCCACGGCGTCCTCTCATGGTCAGTATCTGAGGTGACCTGAGGAGAGTAGTGGGCATCCCAATAGCTCCCTAACACCTGGTTTGCTTTCAATATGTACAATAGCCTGCAGTTTATCTACATCAAGCTGGGCGAAATGACATATTTTATCTCTCTGTGATGAAATAATCTTTACCATATATAGCTTATATGAATCCCTGCAAAATTTAGAAAAAAACACAATATGGATTTAAGATCTTATAATGCAAGAAACAAGTAAGAAAATGATAGATGACACTGCTAGGACGAGCCCTTCAACAGCCACATCGTGAGTTAAACCAGGGTGGATCTCATCAGATGTGATACAAACTTGGCCAAAAATGCATAAAAACTCTTTGAAATATGTCTGTACACCATCACCAATGTTGTTAAAGATAAATCTCACCTCAGGACTATGCTGAGCCTTGAGAAATTAACTCATGATAAAATATGTGCAAATAGTAACTTAGAAGAAATGAATATACATTCATTGGAAGTATTTTCTCAAAAACTTTTATTGGGAAATATGCCATCAAGGAGTCTGGAGACCGCTGGCATAGAAGGTAGTCTAAGGCAGGGTCATCAGACACACACAGTAGCTTGGGGACTAGCAAATGTTCTGTCGGATGGCACTGGATCACACATTTGACCATAAAGCACGTGCATTTCAAGGTACCTTGTCAAAACGGAGTAAAACTGCAACTCATTATAATTTCCCTTGTTGCTAATATTTATAGTAAATATTAAAATGACAAAAAAAAAGGCAACAAGATCCTCTCCTAAACTCTCCTTTTCATGTTCACAGGTCAATCTCCCCAGGGCCAACCAGGGCCCTTCCACCAGATTTGCCTAAAAGGAACCAGACCTGAGCGTGGGCCAGGTCCATCTACTTCTGCACGGATATCAAAGAGAGGAAGCTCTATTAGTTCAAAAGAAGGTTAGCAATACATAAGAATTAGTTTTGTTTTTTTAAGACAAAGAAGTTTCCTTCGTGATCCAATGAGCCTCCCTAATGATTAAGAACTATTAATTAAACAAGAAGGCCATTGGGGGGGGGGGACCCCAAACCTAAGCCTATACATGCCTCAAGGTTATGAAATCAAAACTCTAAGGAGAACCAATCATAAGCAGCCAACCAGGCTTCAAACTGTGGCCAATCATTTCCTTCCTTTGCTTCAGCCTCCAATAAAAGCCTCTTTGCAGCACCAGTCAGGTCAGGGGGGCACGGCCTCAAACAAGCTCTGAAAATGTTTAAGAGGCCTCAGTTTGTCCCTTGACAGTTATGGTGCTAGAAGAGGAACCCGAAGGAGGCTGCTGACTTCCCGGGAGCAAGGCGCAACCAGGCACGGTACCTGCGGGCGTCGGGCCCCTGCTCTCCCGCGTGGCCTCTGGAGGTGGCGGCGGCAAGTCTGGGGGTTCCCAGCCCCGCAGCCTCAGCCTTACACGCTCAGACTTCACCTGGGCATTTCAGTTTCCGGTCTGGGTCCGGAAGCCAGCCAGAGTCGGACTGGGTCCGGGAGCGGACAGGGGCCGACTTGGAAATCAGACTGGGGTCAGTGCCAGGCTTCCGCTGAATAACGTTTTGTTTTAAAGCTGAACAACTAGGTGAATCTTACCAAAGATAATTGTGGCCATAGTGGAGGACTTTAAACCTGGAACTGTTCATGAAACAAGGAGGCTACTAGACAGAGGGGGCTCGAAGGCATAGCTACTGTACAGGCTACGAAAGCAAACCCAAACCTAAGCCTGCGGATGCCTCAAGGTTACAAAACCAAAACACCAAGGATAAGCAAGCACAGCCAGCCAACTAGGCTGTCAGCTGTAGCCCACCCATATTTCCTTGCTTTGCTTCTCTGCCTTTTATTTTTAATATATTTTGTATTGATTTCAGAGAGGAAGGGAGAGGGAGAGATAGAAACATTCATGAGAGAATCATTGATTGGCTGCTTCCTGTACAGTTCACATTGGGGATCCAGCCCACAACCCAGGCATGTGCCCTGACTGGGAATTGAACCATGACCTCCTGGTTCATAGGTCGATGCTCAATAACTGAATCTCACTGGCCTGGCCTTCTGCCTTTTCTTTTTTTTAATTTTTATTTTATATTTTTATTGATTTCAGAGAGGAAGGGAGAGATAGGAACATCAATGAGAGTCATTATTGGCTGCCTCCTGCACGTCCCCTACTGAGGATCGAGCCCATAATCAGGGCCTGTGGCCTTGTTTAGAATTGAATCCAGGACCCTTCAGTCTACAGGCTGATGCTCTATCCACTGAGCAAACCACCTAGGGCCTGCCTCTTCTTTATAAAAGTATCTGAGCTCCAATTGGTGGTGCACCCCTAAGCACATCTAGTTTGGTACTACTGATCCCAATTTTTCTCAAACTCCTAAAAAGTTTAATATGCCTGTTTACCTCTTAACAGAACCAGCCTTTACATTAAGATATTTAGAGTTGAGATTCATTCCCGTATCCTGTATTTGTGTGTGTGTGTGTGTGTGTGTGTGTGTGTGTGTGTTAAGGCAGGCAGTCAAGAAGGAAACAAAACGAAAATAAAAAAGAGGAAAAGAGGAATGTGTATAAGAAGAGGACTGTCTGCTGCCTTCACTGAAACTTGAGGTTCTAGGATTAGCTCAAGAGGAAACAAGTATCAGACATCTACATTTGAAAAGTTCCCCTGAGGGCCATTGCTAACTAGTAGCAGTTCCCGAAGACATCTCTGAAATATTTTTTAAAGCACTTATTTTTCTCCAAAAGATTATTTTACTACTAAAAAAAAAATCAAAACCCCTAGCTCTTTAACAGGGGTGGCATTCAAACAGGCTGAGATAAAATCATTCCCTTACATCTGTCTTTGAAATGGAAATGGGATCCCATGCAAAGCACCAAAGGAAAAACAACAATTTCAACTGCCATCTTGGGTGACAGGCTTATAATCAAATGAAGGAATTACAACATGTGATCTCTTAGGTTAGAATTACCCTTTCCATCGCGGCTCCCACCTGAGACCTATGCTTACAAGAAAGAAGGAATTACTATCACTTAAGAATGGCACCTAATTTCTGTTTGTGGAAATTCCAGACTCTTCAACTTTGCCTCCATGAAAAAGGCCATGCAGGGAACCTATATTACCCCCTTGAATCTGAACACCACCATGGCTATTTGCTGAAATAAATTTGCAGAGTTATGGGGAAAATCGTGACCTGTCATATGCAAAGTAACAATCTCCCATCCTTCTCGTTATATTTGACATCATTTTTGTAGTTAGGAAGTCTGTCTTTTGCTTTTTAAAGGTACACAGGCCAGAAGACTATTACTATATTACTGTAATAAAACCAGTCACCCTGTCACATATCTCCTGTATTCAGCTTACGTGTTCTGGTGATTTATTAACTGTTTCCCCCTTGAATAGAAGAGAACAGGAACCCTGTAGACTCAGGGCCACTGCCTGGCTATCAGATGGTTGGCACTTATTCAATATACTAGAGGCCCATTGCACGACATTTGTGCACAGCAGGGGGTGTCCCTCAGCCTGATCTGCACCCTCTCCAATCCGGGAGCCCTCAGGGTATGTCTTATTGACGGCTTAAGCCCACTCCCCGTGGTTCTCTGCTCTCTGTGGGATCTGCCTGCTCCACACCCCAATGACGGCCAAGCAGGCCATGCTGGGCGCTGCCTGTGGGCCGCGCTTCCCTGCTCCCAGGTCTCCGTGACTACAGCCAAGCAGGCAGTGCTGGGAGCTGCCTGTGGCCCCACTTGCCTGCTCCTGGGATGCTGTGGTGACAGCCATGCTGGGAGCTACCTGTGGGCCATGTTTCCCTGCTCCTGGGTCACTGTGGCGATGGCCAAGCAGGCCCTGCTGGGTGCTGCCTGCGGGCTGTGCTTGCCAGCTCTTGGGTTGCCCTGGTGACGGCCAAGCAGGCCCTGCTGTCTGCTGTCAAGCTGGGCGGCTGCTCTCGACTCCCAGCCAGCCATGGTCCTGGGAGCCTGCAGGCATAGCTTTGTGCCTGACCCAGGACCCAGGCCGCTTGGTGCCTGCGTATGCAAAGTAACCCGCCATCTTTGTTGTGTTAATTTGCATACTCACTCCTAATTGGCTGGTGGGCGTCACAGAGGTACGGTCAATTTGTATCTTTCTCTTTTAATTCGTGTAGATTTGTAGAATGAGTACTTTATGTAATTTTATTATATAGTTATTATAATATCATATCGCTGATATCCCAAGCTTGGCCTGTTAACACTATTAGTAAAATACATCATACATATAACCTTTATTTTAACAACCACAAAAAGTCAGAAAAAAATTCAGTTTAAATAATCAGGTATTCCATATGTTCAAGTGAATATGTTTTATTAAATGCATACTAATATCTTTCTATAGTGAGTATACATAATAAGTTAAAATGTATATATTTATTAAATATAGATATAATACCAGAACATGATTATTTCAGATGAGAAATCAAAATAAACCCATTTTTAAGTATCTTTTGGTCACTCCAAATTGATATTGCTCATAAAAAAATACACGGATTTTTCCCTGGGGGGAAAAAAAAATTAATTCCATAGCAATGTGGTTAAGGGACATGTTTTATTTCATAGCTTTCTGCAAGCAAAAATTGCTTTAATACAAAATGAGTTCAATGATACAAGTGCTACTGTCCACTCAAGCAAAAGAAAACCTCACAGTTATATGGATGCACTTTATAATGATATTCTTACAGTATAATAGGTCTACCGTCCAGGACACCTCTGGCCTCACGTGAAGAAATGGCACAGAAATGGTGCAAGGGTCCTGACCATCATAGCTCTCGTGGGTGCTTCCGAGTAACTTCCTGGGAGTTCTCTGGCAGATACAACTCACAGAACTGGGTGTGGATGTGTCTGTCTTTCTGCCCTCCAGCTTTTAGTTTACATTAAAATCATCTTGACATATTCCCTTGTGTGTGTCTTTCCCCATTTTGGAGTTTCCACAAAAGCGAGAAAAAGTCATGAGGTATCCTTAACGTCAGCTACCCATACAGGGCTGTGGCTTTAGAGGATGTGGACTTACCTGCAGGTACGGGAACTGATTTTAGTGTGTGCTCCCGACGTTACAGTGCAGAAATGTTAGTGCATGTTACACTCTACCTTCCCCTCACATAGAATGTGACTTTAACCCCAGAGTATCTGACAAAAAATTATACAAATAAAAAGACAAATACACAAATAAGGCCATCTGCAGAATTTTAAACTCACCTCTTGCAATATTTCACAATAATTTCTACATCATATTTTACATCTTTCAAACTTAAATAATAAATGCTTAAGGAAGGGCCTTGGTGGAACCAACGGCACTATCTTTTTGAGGATTTGTCCAATTTGCTGGCCGGTGCCTTCCTCTGGGGTGTAGGGATTTTAGAAGGCTTGGCTGTGGACGGCCGAGAGCTTGCTCGGGGCGAAGGTCTGTATGTTTGGGGGGCAGTCTCCACGTCTGAGCACACGGACTGGATTTCTGAAATGTCAAAGTCTGACGCATCACTGCCTCGGCGGCTGCTGGCCCTGCTACCAGCCTTGCTTCCCGCTCTGCTTCCCGGTCGGCTGGGCGTCTTCTTGGGATCTGGGGAGGAAGGGCAGAGATGGGTCACCCTTATTACTGGGTCCATCTGCAAGAGGCTCCCGAAACCTCATGGGAACCTTGAATCTCAGCGATTTCTCTTGACACCTTGTGGGCACTCAGAAAATACTGTGGGTTCGTGGTTCTCTCCATTCCACGAGGGTAGGCAGCCCCCCTCTAAGCAGATGCAATATACAGAAAGCTGGATTTACTAACACAATTTAGGTCTGGGCTAAAAGAGGATTCCATTCACTACAAACAGATATAAAGAACACAGCTGTCATGTACGGTTGTGCTTTCCCAAGTGTAGTGTGCATACCCAGATGCGTGCAAACTCTTAGGTGCAGGTTTGGCCCGAGGACAAGTAATTCAAAGCACATGGGAATTTAAAGGACTTGAAACTTTAAAGAAACTTCAGGCTCGCTGAGCACAGAACCCCAGGGGTTAGGCTCACTCTTCTGTGAGAACATGAGAAGCACTGGGTTCGGGCCCAGCCTGGGTGGGTTTCTCCAAACACCTGACATATAGCCCAGTACATTTTCCAAGCAGACAGAAGGACCAAGATTTTCCAGCTAAGAGGGGTAGGATACTATTGTAGTTTTCTTCTGTTCTCATCTCTCTCTGGCACTTTCCCAAAGGGGTTTTCTAGTCACCTGCTCCCATGACTCATTTATCCCCTACCTTTGTTGGAGGACTGGGGCTACGTGTCATTTCTAAAGAACACAGCATCATCAATTCATAATTTCTTCCTACAGAGGACGGGGGACTTCCATCTTCAGAGTCTACTTCAAAAGCCACTAAAGCAAGACATGCGCCCTGGCCGGTGGGGCTCAGTTGTTAGTATGTCAGCCCGTGCATTGAAGCATCTCTGGTTCGATTGCAGGTCAAGGGCACATACCTCAGTGGCGGGTTTGATCCCAGGCCCTGGTCAAGGCACGTGTGGGAGGCAACCAATCCATGTGTCTCTCTCACTCATCTCTGTCTCTTTCTTTCTCTCCATCCTCCCTTCCATTCTCTCTAAAAAAAATCAATGGAAAAAATATCCTTAGGTGAGGATTTAAAAAAAAAAAAAGCATGCACCACACTCACCAGCAAACTGTGTTCGGACTCTGGCGGCTGCAGTTGTTATCAAGCCACTGTCGTCCCCAGAGTGGAAGCCTTTCCCTGATAAATATCCTGGAAGTCGAAGCTTGCTTCCTTGTATTGGTGTTCCCTGTATTCAATCAGTGAAAGCACATTTCAAGATATTGCTCGAGTTCATCACCGACAGCACTTTAAAGGTGGCTGCAAACCCTCTGCTAGACCCCTTCAGCGAGGCACGGGGTTCTCACTTGCTTGTCTCCACTAATTTCTTACCCTCTCCCTGAATTCAAAGGGAACCTTCCAAAGACAAGGAATTCATGTTGAAGAACACACACAAAAATGGAGATCCCCAAATGATGGCAAGGGGGAAAAAAGACAAACTAAACTGTGAGTACGTTAGTATCTTCCAGTCTGTCAGTAAATAGTATGGAATTAAGAAATACTGATGAAACGATGCTGCCTGCGTGGTACAGAGAGGAGATGGGGTTGAAAAATTGTGCTTGGATACTCTGCTACAGCCAACACTTTTGGGAAACTTAGGCAGAAATAAACCAACAGAAATAGAACAATAAGTAAACAAGTAAAGCCGAGAGAGCCATCACTTAAACAAATTAACTGGAAAAAAAAGTGACGTTTTAGAACTTGGTAAAAACGCCACTTCATTTTCTGGCTCCATGACCTTCTGTGGTCCTTCCACACAAAATACTTAGGCAATGTTTGGGGATAATTCTTTTATAATTCTCATAGGAGTTCACAGAGATTGTCTAAAGCAATCATAACTTTGAAATTTTATCATAAGCCTAAAACAAATGCATTTTTAATAGAACACTACATTTTGAAAGTTCTCTGAAAGTTAATAAAAATTAATTTCCTGAGAAGTGTAGGGATTGTCATAATCCTTGATGAACTCAAAGGGAGCTATTTGAAAGAAATTAATCCAAATTATGTGTGCATTAAAAAAATGAACTGTTTCTTTATTAAATAGTTATAAATGTTTACTAAAGCATATGCAAGACCTTTTGATACACCAGGGTTACAAATCTGTAATATTAATGTAATATTTGTAATTCCTTTACATATGTATCCATACATATATGTTCTATACATATATTTTACATATGTATTCTGTGCATATAAAGTATAGAATTTATATATGACTTCTATACATATAATACTTAAGTTTTCAAAATATTTTCAGACATATAACCACAATTAATCTTCCCATTCATCTAATCACAATTTTTTTTTTACAAATGTGAAAAATGAGGGCCTGAGGAGGGAAGTGATTTGCCCAAGATCTGACATCTCTGATGTAGTTAAATTCCTAACTAAGAATACCTCAATTATCCATGAAAGTGTAAGGACCCACAATTATAAAATATATCACTCAAAATGCAGAATTCATTACCACAGGAGACCCAAAGCGTTATTCTCAGAATGCCTTGGTTGTTTTGAATTGTTTTAAACCCTACCTTTAAAGCCCTTCTATAAAGGTACGCTTTTGTTTTGTCTGTTTGCTTGTTGTTTTTTTATCTGATGAGCCTACTTGAAATAAAACATAGTTTTCTTTTAGTCAAAATTAGGATGCTTAGACTTTGATTTGAGGAATCTCTACTTTTTAAAAGTTTGAACTACCATAGCAGCTCAAAATATTTAAAGCAAACATGTTGCTTGAGGTTCCTTAAGCTGGTCTCAGTTTTTGCTACAATACATCCATCATGAGTGACAGACACCTCTAGATGTTATGATACTAGTGCTTCTCACTTAGGGGGAGGGGCTGGGGAATGAGGAGGAGTTGAAGAATGAGTTGTTTCTGCCCCATTTCTACCCCTATAATTAATGTCATTTCCATCATTTCCATCTGAGGCATGAGGGAAACAACAGTTTCCCTGCCTATGTTTTATTACTGATGTGAGGATTAAATAATAGATCAGAAAGTGTTCTAAAAAGCATAAAGGGCTTTCTAAAGCATATCACTTTCATACTTGGATTCTGGCCTTTAACCTGAAATACTTCCTTCAACTCAAAAGACGTTATTTAGGGACTAGAGCTCTGGTGCATGAAATTCGTGCACAGGGAGGAAGGTGGGGAGGAATCCCTTAGCTCGGCCTGCACCCTCTCCAATCTGGGACCCCTTGGGGGATGTCCGACTGCCTCTTGCAATCCGGGACCGCTAGCTCCTAACCGCTCACCTGCCTTCCTGCCTGATCGCTCCTAACCCCTCTGCCTGCCTGATCACCCCTAACCACCTCTGCCTGCCTGCCTACTCATGC